TTTCCTTTCCACTCAAAACCAAAACTAGCCTAGTAGAAAACATCTGTTGTCTTATTAGCAGATTAAATTGCTTAAAAGTGCTTCTTATTTTACTGTGCATTTTCATCATCACGTTTCAGGGCTGGTAGATGGAGCTGCATGCAACCATGCTGGTGTTTGGGCAAGGTCAGCTCGATATCCCATTCTGTCCTGGGTCATGGAGGTATGTGATACCAGCTACTGCTAATGGAAAAATCATTGGCACCGTTCCCTGGGTAAATTCTTTGTGGGTTGTAACTTGGTTAAACTTGGTCAGGAAGCCCTCATGGTGGTGGAAAGAGCTGGGCAGACAGGGAGGATGAGAGCAAGTGGCTGGAGAGAGCAGCAGTGCCAGCTTACACGTGTCAGAAATGTTCATGGAGATGTGGTGTGAGATACTTTGCTTTCAGCATCATCCATGTGGCCTGCAAAAGCTTTCCTTGCCAGTTCAAGGACAGTGTTTTTCAGAAAGAAGGGCTGAATATATGAGAGCTTTGTGTAGTCAGAGATGGAAGAAAGTAACAACATCACAAAACTGGCCTATTTGGAAGCATGTACTGTCATTGTGTGTATCTGGATTTCTCAGCTTTTCATTATGGGAGAAACTTGCGAATCCCAAACAGCAAGAAACTGATTCCTACTTTCTAGTACCTCTAATATAAGTAATTTCAAAGATATATTCAGACCCCCATATCTTCTTTATTTCCTGCTTTTTTTTTTTTTTTTTCTCCTAATCCAGATGCTGTCAATGTTCTGTTACATGAACAACACAGCTTTTGTTTGCAGGAAAACAGAAGAGGTTTGTATTCGTCGATTCTATGACTGGTGGTTCTTGAAGCATTGCTTATGCTGGGAAGCTTCTGTCTCATCAGCAGAGTGACTTCTGAAGACATGCAGCACTGAAGTTAGGTGCAAAGCCCTAAGTAGCCTTGTAGCATAGACAAAGAGCACCACAAGTCTGAGAGTGCTGAGAGCAGTGTAAGGAAAAAAAGGTACAAGTGATAACAGCTAATGAAGAGCTGGGTGAAAGGAGGCTCCACTACCCACACCTATACAAAAAGCATTTCACAGCATTCCCCAAGCATTTTCTTTGTTTTTTCCCAACCTTCACTGCTTCCTTCCAATCCTATGCATCATCACAATAGCTGCAAACAGGAACTTGTACATAACGTGTAGGAAATTCCCTCTCTGCAGAATCAAAGCAGACAGAGCAAGGTTAAGAATAAAGCCTCTATCACCTTCCTTTCATGTGCCCGGTTCAAACCAGTTGCTTCATGACCCTCATAAAAAAAGACTTCAGACAGAACATTTACATTCTGTTAATGTCTAACTATCTGTCTTCTGCAGAACAATTACACATAAAATGAATAATATTTAAACAGTGGCTTACATTTTTTGCAGGCAGGTTTGTGCTTAAGAGACGTGTATAGTTTAATGACACAGAATTGGAAAAACATCTGAAAACTCCTGAACAGTTTTGTTGTTCTTGAAATCTTCTGCATCTTTCTAACATAGTTACTTTGTTCATTCAGCAGCTGTTTTTAATGGGAGTTCCTGCTAAGCTTTATGTGTACCGTATTTTTAGAAACTCAGCAATTATAGATGTAACAGTGCTGAGTTATTAAGAAATACAAACTTGTGGAACACAAAGCACTTGTATGATTCAGAATAATTGTTAAGAGCCTGCATTTTCTTCTGTATTTTAACAGATTTATCTTTCAAATATCTTCCAGTACGCTGTATTCCTTTAAGAGCTTTAGTTTTTCCTAGCATTCTTTGTGGTATTTCATCAGATACTTCTTTCATATTCATTGACAACAGTGTCCATTATGTTGAATTTTAAGGCATTTTCTTTTGCTGCGCAGGCCAGTTTCAACAACTGCTCTTCAGCTTCTACTTTCACAGTGAGCACATTCTCATTCAGGTTAAGGAGTTGTCCTCTAGTGATCCACAGTGTCTTCATGTTCTGATGTTATAAAATGAATTTTATGGCCCCTTTGTGGCAGATGCAGGGTATCAGGTAAATTACTTCCTCTGGACCCACTGCTGTTCAATAATCTTTTTGATAAGTTTTTACAGTTGAGCTCATTTCCATTAAACTTAGTGGCAAGAACTGAGTTCCTGACAAGTCCCTCTCCATATTACAAAACACAGCTGAATAAAAAGATGAGCCATTAATTCATTTTCTGCTCTGCTACTGGTACCATCTTATGCTGACATTTCCTAATCCTGCAAAACTCAACTTGGATTCACATTTGAGGGTGGACATCATTGTATGACTCCTCAATGCACAGGCTGAAGCGATGCCGAGGCTCTGCCAGCGGAGTGGTCATGTTGTGGAGTGGCCCATCCTTAAGGACACACAATTACACAGTCCAGGAGCAGAGGTGCTGGGCTGCCCATCACAGGGGGCTGGCAGCCTCTTGGAGCGTGACCCAGCCACCTGGGAGGCTCCAGCTGCTTGCTGTGGCTTCCCAGCTGTGGTGGTTGGTGGGAAGAGTGGGGCATTGGTGTGACACCAAATGACCTCATTTGGGTCATTACCTCCCTCTGTTATGATAGCAGGTGATGTTTGCTCTTCTGTAGGTGGAATGGTCTTTTCAGCCACTTTGAGAAATGCATCTGCTCAGAACTCATCTGAGGGTAGAAAGAACATTGGGACTGTGAGCAGAAATATAAACATTGAAAGCAATAGCTTGTGAGAGTTCCAGCTTGTATGTAGTATGTTGTTAACACAGTCTCTCGTAAAGAATGAAAATGTAACACGAGAACTCCCTCTCTTGTTGTTTCAGGTTGGCATCTCGGGAAGATACCAAAGAAGCAGCAGGTATGCTGAAGACTTCAGAAAAGTGAGCAATGAGTCCTTCTGAAAGTTGAAGAGAAGCCCCCTTGTAGGGTCATGAACCTAAGACAAGTGTTCGTGTCTGTACTGCTGTTTGGAGTAGCTGGTCTACTCCTCTTCATGTATCTGCAAGCTTGGATTGAAGAACAACATACAGGTACACTAGGTTTTTTTCTCTCACACATTTATTTATTTATTTATTTATTTTTTAATATAGTTGCATCTACTATTTTAAGATGACCACAAAACCTATTGAGGACAGTTGGGGGTGGAGATCTTCCCCCCGCTTTGGAAGTAAAATGGCATTGAAAATAGACTTGTTTTAATTGCTACACTTCATTAAGAAATTTCTTCAGTAACATGAAAAGATGGTCCCAGCTACCTAATCGTATCGTATCAGCTTCATTTGCAAAAGCAAGTGTTGCAAAAGCATTCTGCATGTCCAATTCAGAAATTATTCTCTACAATGATTTGTTGTGGGTTTTGCACGTTTTGTGTGGCAAAGCAATTTTTGGAGAATAACTTCTGAGTTTTATAGATGAAAGTGGTCTTCTAAGCAGCAGTGCTCATGGAATCATCCTTTTCCTTTCTTCTTTGTTGTTTGTTTGAGACTGGGCTTACAAAACTTTTTATATGTAGCATCAGAGTCATTTTGCAACTTCAAGTAAATCTGTGTTGGCATTGGCTCAGGATTACACTTCTGAATTGTATTCCTGTTGTTTCCCATTTATGATGTTTTGGGTTGAACCCCATCTTGATCTAGATTCTCTTATGGATGAAACTAAACCAGGTTATTTTCCTTGACCCCTACTGGAAGCTCAGTTCATGGGACTCGGTCTAGAGTGAGTCTGAAGTAGCCTTCCACAAAACATATAAAGGGTACATGTCAGAAAGGTCCTCCATGGTTTTTCTCTTCAGGTTCACTTCTGTTATGTCACCTTATTGAGGGCATATACTTGATTTTACTTGTACACATGTATTGGGGGATTAGGGTTTTGTTTTCAAGGTTTGGGCTTGATTGGGGGTTTTTTGGGTTTTTTTTTAATTGTTGGTTTATATGCTAGGGGTTTTATTTGTCATTGTTTTTTGATTTTTTGTTTACTTGTTAAGTAACTTAAGTAACTTAACTTGTTAAGTCTTGACTTTTAGATCCTCTTGTCTCTCTCAGCTTCCATTTCCTCTGTAAAACTCTTATTTTATAGTATGTTGATACCATTGTGAAGAAATACATCTGTAAAACCACATTAGTCTGTGGCTTTATTGATCTGTGTTGTTATGCCATATGAGCTGCTAGGTTCCAGTGTGTTTTAGAGAGCAGTGTTGAGGGGGAAATGTAGTGCATCACTTCTGCAATTGTTTGACAAGGACCTTGAGGGGTTTTTTTTCAACTAAGTGCAATGATCACAGCGTTAATTTTGGCTTGTTAATTTTTCTGGGCTGTCCCAATATTCACAAGCTTGTATTAACAAAACTGTTGTAAGAGGTAATACAGACTCCCTTTGGAAAGGTTCCCTTATAATCAGTTGTTGACAGAAGGGTGCTGGCAGGAACTAAGCATGCAGCAGAGGGGGGGGTCTTCCTTGAAAATCTCTACTGTTGTCAAGAGTGTTAAGGGCAGATATCCATGCTTTCAAGGTAGTTCAGGAATGTAGATGATGACTGTAGATTATTGATTTATTTGCTTGCTGGCATTCTTCACATTCTTTGCATCTTTTCTCATGCTGTAATTAACCTTTCTTTCCTTGCAGTGCTTCTTGTTGCTGTTTCTCACTGCATTTTTTTGACTCCTATCTTTTGTATGTATCTCTCTACCATTAAAAAGAAATAGGAAAAATAAAAAAAGGTTGAATTAGGACAGACTGTTCTTTTGGCCAACCAGATGTTTTCTTTGGGGTTTTCTTTGATATATTGCTATAATCTTCTTCAGGAGAGAGGCTTCTCCTTGCACACATAAGTCATTTCCATGTGGAAACATTTCTCTAATAAAATGGAAGCTATCAGAGAATAACAGAATGGTTAGTGAGCTTGAAGTGTGACTGCAGTTTTGAGTGCCCTTTTATCTCACTGGACTGCTGTTGTGACAGCACTTCATCAAGACCAAAAAAAAAAAGAATTTTGACATTCTCTGCAGTAGCAGTAGAGAATGTATATGGTCATGCACATTGGCAAGAACATGGACTCATTCTTTGGTGTCTGCTCTTGCTTCTTCTTCTTCCAATTTAACATTTAGAGAGCCATTCTTTTTTATTTCAAACACCTGTATCTCCACTAAACCTTCTGCAGCGCAATTCTCTAATGCCCCCCCTCCTGTATGCTGCTTTAGAGTTGATATGAAATAGAACATATTTGCATATGCACAATATACATTTGTATAATTATGGGCATTTTGCAAGTTTTTTTTCCCTCTTCTTCTCTGTCTTTCATATTGCCATGTGTTGTACACTGTGGCTTTTTTGGGGATGAGCTGTATCTGGAGAATCCTAAACTGACAAGTATCTTTGCAAGGATTTTATGAGTTCCCTTAATCCTCTCACTAGCTGCACAGCTGTAAGACAGCTAGTTTTAATCTGCAAGTGGCTGAGTACATGAGGTGGAGTTCTGTTAGGAAATGGAAAGCACGCCCCGTGCTTCTCAATTGCCGTGCTACGAGCCTGTAGAGACAAGTGTTTGTTGTAGGCAGAACTATTTTTATCTTCCACAGTGCCCTGCTCAAGACCTACAGCATTCGTGTTTGCATTTGGTTGCTGAAGGAATGGAAAGTCGGATGTGTTTAAGTTCAGGAAAGTATCTGTTTTGCACCTGTGAAATGCTTCTCCTTACCACCCCATTCCTCTGAATATCTGGAGCCTTTATAATTCACAATCTCTGGAAAAGATAGTGAATTTTACTCTGTTGTGGTTTGTAGTATTCATGTTTATTTTTCAGGCTCTCCTAACTGTGGTGTGAATTATTCCAAATCAGATGTAGATTTTTTGGAGGAACTGGAAAGTTATATGGTAGTTTCCAATTCCCTTATTAATGTTTGTCCTACTCTTTTGAAGTTGGACTGTTTTCTTTCACACTTGCCATTCTTATTGTCACTTTTTCTAGCTGTTCATAATTTTTGACACTAGATCCAATGCCACCTTTTATTCATAGTTTGCTTTTTCTCTTTTTGGGTCTCTAATTTCTGCTTCCTGTTCACATCACTGAGATCTCAACTGTGATTTGATTCCCGTTTGTCTTATTTTGCTCTAGACCTATCTTATCCAAGCATGTTTTTCTTTGATTTATTTTTACAAACTTCCCTTATTATTCAAATGTATCCAGGACAGGAACACCTCCAATTTTTCATCCTGTCCATCTACTCCAGATGCACCTGCAGGCTCAGCAGCTGGATGCACCTCTCAGCACAGCCATGTCTTCTGCTCCCTCCCACGGTGCTTGGACTCTTCAGACTATTTCTAGACATGTTTACCATCCCTCTGCCTTAAAAAAGGGAAAATCTTTCATTTAAAGATGTCTAAGAAGCAGCTGCTAGCTACATGGTGGTCCTCTCTGATGGCTTTTCAGAGACATTAGCAGACTGAGTGAACAGGGGAGTTTCTTGGTTTGCCTCTGGGCATGGAGTGTATAAAGACAGGATGATATATCTTCTTCTCTGATGTATCTTCTGTTGGGTAGCTTCAGTTCACCTCAGTGGAGTAATTGGGAAACTTGTCAGTAGTCCAATGTAAGCATCAATACATACAGACTACATCTGGATGAAAATTTAATTGACAGCATTGATACTGTGGTATATATGGAGCACTTCATGTTCTCCATATATAAATATATTCATTGTATATAAATACACATCCATGAATGAAGCTTGATATGAATTCAGCTGGATCCTACAGCTTTACTTGACAGTTCTCCATAAGGTCTTGCATTATGTAGTGCAAGCATCAAATATTGTGGCAGTGATTAAGAAGCAATCACTATTTATTACGTGCTTAGAAATTTCCAGCACTGGTGATCTTATTCAGGTAAAGCGAACTGCTGGGTCTTCCAGGGCTGCTGTTGAGCTCTGTACCATGAATCACCTGAATCAGGGGGTTGTGGGGTACAAAGGACACTTGCAATTTAATCCTGAAATATTAGAGATATGAATTGGAGTTTTAAGGTAAGGATTATAATTTTGTACTTTAAAACTCTTCTTTTTTAGAGAGGCTATTATGATTTAGTGTGACTACTACAAAATGACCTGAGAATATCTTTGAGGTTAGAACCTCATGTATGCTGTGTTTGTTGTTTGGGGTATTGCCATGTGTTATTTTTTCCCCTTCTCTTAAAGTTTGCGTAATTTTTTTTCTGAAGCGTGCCTAGCAAATCCATGTTTATGAAGGACTACTTCAGAATAGTGTAGTCTTACCACTGATTAAAGGGCTGCACTTCCCTCCCACAGATTTCTGATTTCTGAGGGTGAAAAAGTCTGCATCTCCTTTTTCCCAGCAGTTTTGTATCTCACCTTAAGGATACTGAGATTTTTCTGTGTGCTTTCTCTTCACTTTGCAGGGTATCAGTTCTGAAGCATCAGTGGTTGCCCAGGCATCCTTCTGCAGTCCATATGCTTTCCTGCAATTTTGTGCAACTACCTCCTGAGGAGCTTCACAACACAGACCTTATACCCATTCCTCAGGCCACAGGTCTTCCTTTTGTGAAGAAACAAAATCAAAATTCAGATAAAAATCCCATTTTAAAAAAAGCTTGAAATTCCACGAGCTTTCACGCAATTCTTTGCATGAGCTTTCACAGTTTAGTCTGCTATTCCTGTAACCATGCAGATTGTATCCACTATATATATTCCTTGACATAAACCGGTGGGATTTTTTTCCTCACCTTACCAGATTTGGTAATCCAAGGGGGACTTTTGAGTCCATCAGTAACGTGATATTTTGCGTCCATGGGGTGCCTTTCTTCCTCATCTTGGCACTCTAAGTAACAACTGAACATGTGTGTACACATGATAATATTTAGTCTTTGCTGTTTTTGTGGGTTGATTTTTATTTAAGCTTTGTCTAAGAGTAGAAAAATTGATGTGGCTTAAAGAACTATTCATAGGTGATGAATTTCAAAGGCAACTGTTTCATAGAAGTCATAGCTTTTTCTAGACAATCAGAAAATGCACTAAAGTAA